GGTAAAAAATAATAATGATAAAAAAAAAGATTAGTGGGGGAAAGGGGCTGCCAGGGGCCAGCCAAGTAGCATGGTTGTTAAAGTGGCTGGATCCCACATGGCCAACTTCATAGTTCAAGTCCCAGAACTGGCAGCTTGAAAACATGCTAGGTACATGGTGTGTTCACACCCAAAATCCTGAGAGAAGAATGGAGAAGGGATTATGGTGTGGCCATCCTTCACAGGGAGTGACTTTTCCTTTTTTTTTTTTTCTTTAAGAATTATTTATTTAATTTTATTTATTCATTCATTTATTTTTAATTCGACCAAAGAGACACACACAGACAGAGAGAGAGAGAGAGAGAAGGTGAGAAAGCAAGCCACCAGGTCAAGGACATCAGCGGTTTGGGAATGTCCAGCCCCTTAGCCACCATACCACCTGCTGGCCCCACAGGGAGTGACTTTTCACTGTCTCTCACTCTCTTTGGTCAGTGTATACACCTTATAGCAAAAAAAAAAAAAGGAAGAAATAAAACAGAAAAAGAGACTGGCTCCATGGCACAGTGGTAAAGCTGTGGTCAGGAAAAGCTAGATCTTACAAGGCAACCACAAGTTCAAAGCCCTGACACACACTAGGCACCTGTTGAGTGCCCAAGATCTGATGGGCTGGAGGAGAGCAATCGTGCTGTGAACAGACACTGTGCCAGGTGTCTTTCTTTCTCTTGCACGTATGCACATGTATGCACATGCATGCTATCATGAAAAAAGAAAACCAGGGACCAGCAGTTAGCATAATGGCTATGTTGCTGAACTCCCGTGTAATCGACTGCGGTTCGAGTCCTGGACCTGGTGGCTTAAACTCATTCCAGGTGCGTGTATGTACCTGCCCAAGATCCCAAGAGGAGAATGGAGAAGAAGGGATTGCAGCGTGGCCATCACCCCCTGGGGGGTGATTTCTCACCTTCTATCTCTCTGTCTCTGTCTTTCTGGCAAGCGCATACACCCTATAGGAAAAACCTCTCCCAAAAAGAAAGAAAGGAAGGAAGGAAGGAAGGACGGAAGGAAGGAAGGACGGAAGGAAGGAAGGACGGAAGGAAGGAAGGACGGAAGGAAGGAAGGACGGAAGGAAGGAAGGAAGAAAGAAAAGAAAAGGTTTTTTAGAAAGATTTTTGCTGTAGGGCACATGTGTTTGCCAGAGACACAGAGAAACAGGAAATGAGAAACAACCCTGAGGGGGCATGGCTGTGCCGCAATCCCTTCTCCATTCTCCTCTCAGGATTCTGGGCATGCAAAAGTGCCCAGTGTGTTTGAAGCCTTGAGGTCCAGGGCCACAGTCAACTATGTTGGAGTCCAGCACCTTCACTATTAGAACGCCCTAGAGAAAAAAAAAAGTAATAAATTGGGTGGCGGGGGGTAGGGGGAAACTGCAGTGGCACAGGAGGTAGCATCCTGACCTGTAGTTCTGAAATCCATATGCCTACACTTGGGTTTGGATCCTGAGTCGTCCTGAAACACACTAGGCATGTGCACCCAAGGTTTGGACTGGCTGGAGGACCAAGGAAAGAGAATCGCTGGTGGGGAAACCCTGCTTGGGATCCCTGTGTGTGTGTGTCTCTCATGAAAGAAAGAAAATAAGTGTTTTGGGGGTGGGGGGCATTGAACTATCTGTTTCATTATGATGACACCCACCTCCGGTACTGCCTGCCTGCTTCTGTGCCCCAGGAAGGGAGGCCTGGCCCTGAACAGAGCACAGTCCCCTGGCACGCCAGGCAGCAAGCCCCAAGTAGCTATAGACGTGTATTTGGTACATGGGAGGAGCTTAGTCCTTGGCTGCTGCTTTCCGGATGGTGGCCAGGACGTTGCTCAGTTCTTCTTGCTTCATCTCGGCACCGATGTGTGTCCTCACCCTTGTGTTGATGAACTCAAGGGCCCACTTGTCCTTAGAGACCTTGAGCAGCTCCGTGTCACACCATTCGTAGAGGTGAAACTACACACCTCCTGGATCATGTCCAGCGCGAACCTGGTGTGCTTGGTGAGGCACCTATGGCAGCGGCCGTGCCTCAGCTTGTTCACGTTCTTGATCACGTGGTGGCCCTTACTGAGGCCCACGTTTGTGGGGTAGTGCAGAAGCATGGCTGCAGCTGTCCAACGGCTGCTGCAGTGGAAGGTAAGGTAAGCGTTTTAAAAATTCCCACCAGCTTATATTGGTTAGTTACTTCAGGCTGAAGATAGGCTTTTCAAATGGGGGGGGGGGCATTTC